ATGAGGGAGCTCCTGGAGTCCTATTTCTACCAAGAGGACCGGAGCTTTCCCCATCCAGTCAGAGCTCCTGCAGCTATATCCCCAGCAGCATCTTCACTGACCAATCAGAGCAGCTCCCTTCTGACCAATCAGGACAGTGCCTTTTGGTTGGCTCCAATTTGGAGGATTTGGAGTCCTTCGTTGCAGGAGGACAGACCAATCGGGGATGAGGGGCGGGGACTTCTCGCTACATAAGTCAGCTTGGCCATGGCCTTGGAGCCCACTTTCCCTTTCCATGGGAGGCTGGAGTCTGTGTTTCCTGGCCGGGCCTGAAACATTGGAGCTGAAACACTGAAGATGACTCCTGGAACCAGAGCAGGGCAGACTGGAGCAGACTGGAGCAGACTGGAGCAGACCGGAGCAGACCGGAGCAGACCGGTGCAGACTGGAGCAGATTGGAGCAGATTGGAGCAGACTGGTGCAGACTGGAGCAGACTGGAGCAGACCGGTGCAGACCGGAGCAGACCAGAGCAGACCAGAGCAGACCGGAGCAGACCGGTGCAGACTGGTGCAGACTGGCACAGGGCTGAGCCGTTTAGCCGGGGAGGGGCCGGGCCCCAGGCCGCCTCTCAGCGGCGCTGCTTAACTGAGCTGTAAGACTCTTGCGCCGTTCACACTGAGAGAAGCTTCCTTCTTCACCACACCCCAGATTAGGGATTCCTGTTGGTGTCGAATTGACCGTTGGTTGACGACGTCATTTAAAGTGAGTCTTGTCAGTCTGCCTGGAGCCACGGAGGAGCTGGGGCTTTGGGGCCAGATGGACAGGCCGTGGGATCTGGCCGTACCATACTTACTGTTGACTTTGGCCGAGTCGCGTCACCTCTGGGAGACTCGGCCTCTTTGTTCCAACATGGGGACCACCCTCTGCTTGCTGTGTGCTCACCACGTGTTCCTTCTTCACTGGCAAACCCCGCCCCTAATCCCAAGTAGGAAGATAAAGATCACAGAAGTGTTAGTAGAGGGGCAGTCAGATTTCGTGTCCCGACACTGATAGACTGGCGAAGGTTACTTGGGAGCAGGACGATGGTTCTTGTCGGAGCTCGTGGGGGCTTCGGAACCATAGACCTGGGTTCTGATCTTAATTCTGCCACCCACCTGGTGGGTGATCTGGGACAAGTCTTTCCCTCTAAGTGTTAGTTTCCTAATATTGTTAGGTTGCTGTGGAGGTTAGAGATGTGTAAAAAATTCCTGCCCCATTGCCTGCCACGTTCACAAACACTCGCTGAATGTCGAGTGAATGATAAGGTAGTGATTTTGTGTTTAACGGGGCCGTTATCATTCCTGTTTCTGGCTCCACGTAACCTTGGAAGAGCTCTCTGTACCTCGAGTTCCTTATCTGAAAAGGAAAATTTTCATTTTCAATTCTCTGTTCCTTGTAATTCAGGTAAGCAAGTTTTCCCCTCTCTTGGGTTTGCTGTGTCCCAGGGACTAAACTTGAACAAGGTAACTCTCTGGAGCTCGAGCAGCCGCCAGGCCCGAGCTGTCATTGGCAAAGCAGCTCAGGCACATCCCGCCTGGGGTGGCAGATGGCAGTCCCTGGCCCGACTGCCTCCTGAGTGAAAACCCCAGACACCTCGACCTCGCCGTGGACGTAGGGACCCCAGCGGCATGCTCTGAGAGCCATGCGCCCGCCCTGGGGGGACGGCTAGAGGGCAGTGGCAGCGTGGCACCGCCGAGTTCCCACTCCCGCTGACACCCTCGCCCCTTCCTCTGAAAGGCCGCTTCCTTCCTTTCGAAAACCCAGTGTGAGCCGTTGCGGCGACTCTCAGGAGCCCGCCACTGTCCTTCCCACCTCCCTTCTGCTCCCCGGCGTCCCTCTGCCCTCCTGCTACCTTCCTTTCCTCCCTTCCTTCCTGTTAGGAGAAAATCGTTCACAGCCGTCACCTGAGCGTGACAGCTGTGGCTCCTGAACAGCCGTGCGCTGCCCACAGTTTCCTCCCCTCGAGGGGTCTCGAGTGTCTGAGCCCCACTTTTAGACCAAGGATCGTGTGTCCGGTCGCACACTGCCTCTGCACAGTTCCAGGGGCACGGTGTCCCTGCGGCCGGGGGTGGTCTGAGCACCTAACATGCCAGGTGTGAGCCTCTCGGGCCGTCCTCGCCGCCATCCCGCAGTGCAGGTGCTCTCGCCCTCGGGCTGCAGGCGCGGAAACTGAAGCAGACTGACCAGCGGGTCTGTGTGAGTCTAAGCCCGTGCCGTCGGCCGCACCCCGCCCTCCGACATGCAGCTTCTGAAGCCCAGCCTCAGCCCTCACCCACACCATCTCTCTTGGGATTCTGCAGCCGCGTACACGCAAAGCGACACACCTACGAAAACAACCGCTTGCAGCAGTGTGACAGGGAGACGTCCCATCTGGGAGAGCTGGCATCTAGTCCCAAGGCTGCCGCCTGGCTGTGTGTGTGAGCGCCGAGGCACGGGCCTCAGCTCGGTCTGCTCGCCAAGAGAATTGGTTGCACCGAGTAATTTCCAGGGTGGGCCCTTTCAACCCCAACCTTCTGAATTCTTGGGGCCGAGCGGCTTGATTTACTGACCCTTCTGTTGTGTTCTGGAACGCAGTTGGCTTGGGCGTAGCTACCCACAGAAAACAGT